AGAATGTTTAAATATGTATATACACACATATATACACACACCACACATATACGTATTTTTAAAATCTGCATAAATAAAATAGGGAGGAAACTTACTTTAAAGATAGCCAATTGAAATTGATTTAACTGATTATTTTCTCTCATTCTTTTCAACTTTTGAAGGATTGCACAGCCCAACCAAAAAACAAAACAAAAATGGTGCCATGGTTGTTAGGCCTATTTCTGGGGTTATTTGAGCCACTGATTCATAAAATTGCACTAGATAGACAGCATTAACTCTTGTTTCTTAGAAATGGTTATCATGGTTTTCTCTGGGCAAACAGCTGGTAACTGGTAGACAGCATGTGTTCTGTCTCAAAAACTAGAGCTGAAAGGAGAAAACTGCTTCCTTTTTTGGAATAAGCAGGTCAGATATATCTGAAAACTATTATAACATTTGAGGCATGAAAATGTGTGTTAACCAGTGTTACGGAAATAAAATGAGAAACAACTGTAAGTTGGCAGAAAGACCGTACTAGATCTGTAGGTATTGAAAAACATAAAATCTGATTTTTAAAATACCCGTTCAGGCCCGTAACCAGGATTTTGATTCGGGGGGAGGGGGGGCTGAGTCTGAGTGAAAGAGGGTCTACCCTAGCAAACCTTTTGTATCGTTACCCCAATACCCCCATGCATATGGGATATATTGAGCATGGTGATCAGATCATGATATGAATAAACATAACAGTTTAAATAATGTACCAGTAAGGCCTTTTCGCAGACCACCATGAGAATTTTGGGGAGGGGGGTGAAGCCCCCCCCCCCCCCCCCCCCCAGCTACATGCCTGCCGGTGTTGATTTCCACCATTTCCTAGTGTGAAACAGGTATACTGCTGAGAGACCTTGCATATACATCTCAAGAGAAAAACAACTTCATAACTCTTCCTTTCACACATAGGTTATTGTTTGTTGAATTGCAGAATTCTAGATTTAGAAGGCATTGCCGAGATTGTCTAATACACTTCTTCAGGGCCGTAGCCAGAAAAAAAATTCGGGGAGGGTTGAAAATTTTGGGGGGGGGGGGGGGGTTTTGAAAATTTCAGGGGAGGGGTTGAAAATTTCGGAGGGGGTTTGAAACCTGCCTCTAGCTCACGCTGAAGCAAAGAGCACAGCAGGGGCCAGAGCATCCTTCAATAGCCTGCAGTTACGCCCCTGTCAACCATCTCCACCAAGTCTGGCCTCCTTAATGAGAGCATTCAACACACACACACACACACCCAACTTGGTTGCTTCGCTACATCGGCTATTGCTGCAAGTAATGACAGTGTGAATAAATTGTCAATATTTGCTTGAGATAGTGCTTGCAGTTCTGGAGGACTCTTAATTTTTTGCGTCTCATAGACTTAGCATGGAGATTTGGTTAACCAGTTAAAATTCATGAGTAAACCAGGTTTATTTTTTTAACCTGAAAAATTGGGGGGGGGGGTTGAACCCCTAACCCCGCCCCCCTCACTACAGGCCTGCACTTCTTAAACTGTGAGTCCCAAGTCTAAATGAGATCCCCTTAGCTGAATGTTGCGGTCACAAATATTTGGCAACAGTAAAAGGTTTCTGAATGCCACCATTTTACACAAATATGTTAGTAACAACATGCAGTGTTTACAGTGTACTCTGCAGAAATTGCTTTGGCTGTACTTCTTGAGAAGGAAAATCAGCCTGGTTTACAAGCTTTGCAAATGCTGGTTTGTTTTCAGTAAAAGTTTGGTTTTTATATTTATTTTATATACCTGGGGTCACGTAAAAAAAATCTAATATGGAAAAGGATCACAAATGGAAAAAGCTTAAGAAGCCCTGTTCTAATCCATCTGTGCGTAATGCAACAATTTTGCAATTACACTGGCTTAAATTCCTTTAGTCAAGACAACTGAATCGCCTCCTGAGCCATCTGTCCACTGCCAGCTCTTTCCATTAGGATTAGGACATTTATTTTCATATTTCCAACTGAAATTGTCAGTTGTCTTGCAATTTCCATCTCTTCGTCTTCCTATTTCCCTTTTAAGCAAGTCTGCTTGAAATACTTGACCTCGCTTCTCCCTTCCCTTCGTCCCTCCTGTCAATATCACATTTTCATTTGATAAAAACATTTCTGTATTGTTGGGATTTTACCTGTAGCTAAGTTTAAAAATAGATACTGTTTTATCTGTTCTTCTTACTCGTTTTTTTAAAAATCCCTAAAGGGTGGTTCTCACTTTTATTGTGATTTTAGATTGCTATGAGCCACTCTTGAGTGTCACATGGGGACTAAAAGGGAGAGACAGATAGATTTCTATTTAGATTTCTATTTCTATTTATATCATGACTCCCTTTAAATTTCTCCAAGGCTAAGCATATCCAGCTGTCCGGCACAGGACTTTGTTTCCAGAACTCACACGTCCTCTTTCTTCCAAACACACTGGCTTATCAATGTCCTTATTAAAAGTGTGGTAGTAAAAAACCATACACAATAACTCAGACTAAAACTGTTAAATTTCATGAAGTAATGGTTGGCTAAGGGTGCATTTATGCAGTAGAACCACTTTAACGGCCATGGCTCAGTACTACAGAATCCTAGAAATTGTAGTTTGGTAAGGCCCGGCCCTATTTGGCAGAGAAGACTAAAGTCTTGTAAAATGACAATTCCTAGGATTTGATACCATTGAGCCATGATAGTTGAAAGTGTATACCAAACAATGTAGATAAACTCTTCAATATCCTTTATTCATTTGGAATGAGCACTCAGTTTTGTTCTCCCATTCTACAAAATTAGGTGAGAATCTTTGGTTAAATAAAAATAAAAGTCTTATTAAATGCACTTGGAACATCTTGGTTGATTGCAAAAGTCTGGGCAGATTGGCGAAGGGGTTGCATTGAAGTTGCAGGCTGTTTGATATGTTTGTAATTCTAGATATACATTAGTTAACAAAGTAAATGTGTTCCTGGACATTAGTTCTGTAACAAAGTGGGCAGGAATAATCCCAATTGTGTAATGTTCAGGGCATTGAAGACAAAACCTAGCAAACCTTTTGGTTCAGATCAAAAAAAGCTAGTGAAGTGGATTGGAGCCGTAAGTCCTTTGTATCCTGAACCTTTAGCATGTTGTTTCTAAATCTTGTCTTCCCCCAAAGCACCTCCATCTGGTGTACATTGCAATAGTCCAGCCCAGTGTTTCTCGAGTTTCCTAATGCCACTGCCCCTTAACACAGTTCCTCATGTTGTGGTGACCCCCAACCATACAATTATTTTCGTTGCTACTTCATAACTGTCATTTTGCTACTGTTACGAATCGTAATGTAAATACCTAATATGCAGGATGTATTTTTATTCACTGGACCAAATTTGGCACAAATACCTAATATGCCCAAATTTGAGTACTGGTGGGGTTGGGAGGAGGGGATTGATTTTGTCATTTGGGAGTTGTAGTTGCTGGGATTTATAGTTCACCTACAATCTAAGAGCATTCTCAACTCCACCAATAGTGGAATTGAACCAATCCTGGCACACAGAACTCCCATGACCAGCAAAAAATACTGGAAGTATTTGGTGGGCATTGACCTTGAGTTTTGGAGTTATATTTCACCTACATCCAGAGAGCACTATGGACTAAAATAATGATAGATTTGGATCAAACTTGGCACGGATACTCAATATGCCAAAATGTGAACAGTGGTGGAATTTGAGGAAAATAGACCTTGACATTTGAGAGTTGTAGTTGCTGGGATTTATAGTTCACCTACAATCAAAGAGCGTTCTGAACCCCACCAGTGATAGAATTGGGCCAAACTTCCCACACAACCCCCATGACCAATAGAAAATACTGTGTTTTCTGATGGTCTTTGGTGACCCCTCTGACACCCCTTGCAACCTCCAACCCGGGGTCCCAATTCCCAGGTTGAGAAGCACTGGTCCAGCCTGAATGGGACTAAGGCATAGGTGACATTCTTACTCTCTGATTAGTAGGCAAGTAAATTATGAACTAAGATCATTTGAATATTTGACAGCTGAAAGGAAGACAGGTGACCTGGTGAGATGTCAGTGTATTCATTCAGAATATTAGGCGCAAGGACAGAACCTTAAGCTGGTGCTGAAATATATTACAGATCATGATATGAGCTTTCAGTTGTATTATCACACTATCAACAGTTCTAATGTTTGCTTTCAGCTGCAGCAAATTTAGTACTTTTCGGTCACTTTGCCCTTTAAGTAACCTTCCTTGAGGCCTTTGTTTGTAGCTTTTGACTGATAAGTATTGTATAAGTTGACAGAGTGGGTAGATAGAGGGCACCGTTACTGAGCAGGTGGAATATGCTACATAGCCTCTTTTTGTCACTTCTGATGTTTTTATTTTGCATTCATTCTAATCAACAGGATTCAACACAGTATCTTCCTTTCTAGGTCAAAGAAGCTTAATTTTAAAAAATATGTTTGTATGTGTGTGTTGTTTCTGCTTTGGAGCAGGAAGAAGAGGACCTGGATGACCTGTTGAGTTGTCCGAACAGCTGAATGGCATCTTAGGGGCCAGCCTGAGCTTCTAGTTTGCTGGAGAGGGTCCATCGTGCCATGGACTCTGGGTGTGAGAGCAGATTCTCTGCATTGTTGACAAGAGATTACACAAACACTTTTACTGTTACACAACAGTCCTTTGGCTGCTCTCCTGAAGTGCCAGCAGGGGAGTCGCAACACAACATCAGTTCCAGATAGCCCAAGAGACAGAACTTATTTTCTCCTTTGTAGGAGAACAACAAAAAAACACTGCTTTTCAATGTTGGTCACCTGGCACTGGTTAAATTGATGTTAATGCATCTTTATTGATAATTATTCACTCTTCTCATAATACAGCCAATGTGATGTTACTAGGACATTGTGGAATCTAAACATGGCAGGAAAACCCAACCACCAGACACTAAATAGAACTCTGTGAAAATATTTAATGCAAGGTTAAAAGTAAATGTTTTGGTGGACTAAGCTTAAAACTTGTGACCTTAGTAACAACCAATAAAGGAGATGCTAACATCACACTCTTATTTTTGTCGTTATTTACCTTCTATCAAAGCCAAGCTCTTAGTGAGACAGCCACTCTTTTCTAAACATAGAAAGGGTTGGGTGATTGTAAATGGGCTGAGAATAAACGGATCATGCTGGGGCTGGGGTGATATTAAATAAGTAATAAAACATACATTCCCAAGGTGATGGGGTGAAAAGAGGTATCTTAAGATGTCCTGGAAGCTTTGATCCTTATACTTACATAATCTGGATATATATTCTGCATTTAATGGTGATGTATTTTAAACATGTTTTTTGATTGTAAAAGTTCTAGGAATGTACATTAGATAACTTGCTTTCAAATTTAGCTCTATGGACTGTTTTGTTTCCACACACCCTGGGAAAACTCCTTTATATTGAGTGAACGTAACAAATATGAAACTTTTTTTAGAACTGATAACTCTGGGCTTTTGGCTTATGTTTGTTTGTAAAGGGCAAAAGTTGTGTTTGTAAAATAATGACTGCTTGCTAGATACAGTAAAATTGTGACTAGCACTTTCAGGTCCTAGAACAGCATTGTTAAAGATTCTCTGAAGCCTCTGACGCACTGGCTTACATGAGTTCACTTTCACACCAAGCCAACAACAATAATCGTCTATTGGAAAATGAGTGATAATGTGTGGATGTTTACTGGAGAGGGAATAGAGGACTTCAAATCTAATATGTAAAGCTCTTAGCTCTTAGCGTCAGCTGCAAAGCTGACTGGTACAGACTAATTGGGGCTAAGATTGCAGGATAGTTGACTATTCAGATAAAGCTTTTGGCACACTTTGTACAGAGGAAAGTATGATAGTCCAATAGGCACGATGACTCAATTGTATGCCCAAACATTTAGATGTGTCTTTCTATTGTATGTCATTCTCTCCGCAATACCTCAGATTATCACCCATGTGATGTCCTAGCAAGCAAGATAGAGACTGTTTTCTGACTAACAATGAGCTCCTTTTCTGACTTATGGCAAACCTAAGGCAACCCTAGCATGGGGTTTTCTTGGCAGATGTTTTCTAGAGTCGGTTTGCCATTGCCTTCCTCTGATGTTGAGAGAGTGTGATGTGCCCATGGTCCTCCAGTAGGTTCCCACAGCCGAGTAATGTTTCAAACCTTGATTTCCATGTGTCTTAATCCATAACTCAAACTACTATACCACATTGACTCTCATGATACTTGCTCCTAAGTTTGTGACTCTAGGAAAGCCAGAGAGCCAGCAATCTTGAGTCTTGACACAGCTATCAGATGACTGCAGGGTGCACTAAAAATGGCCAGCTGCCGTTTACACAACATCACAACATCATGGAACTTGTTGACAGTATTTGGGTGATTAAATAATCTCTGGTCGTGGTCAAACAGTGTCACTTGATCGGCCAGCTGAAAACATTTAACTCATCGATTGACTGATGCCGTAACACTAAGCACACAACACCCCACCTACAACTTGGAGTAGAAGGTAGTCAGGTTTTGTGAACATTATATGCACTTGCTGAAAATAGATGGCAAATAGATAACACTTTTCCCTCCTATCCTCCTTCCCTGTGGTGTAAGCTAAGCAAGATCATAGCATCAAAACCAAATTGAGCAGTTGAGTGCATAGGCCAATCCTGATGGCATACAGCTAGCCTTTTGCAGACTTTGGCTATTGTTAGCTTTTTCTTTTCTTTTCTTTTTTTCATATCAGGAGCGACTTGAAAAACTGCAAGTCACTTCTGGTGTATGCTGATTACCTTGGCCTAACAACACAAGCAAAAGATTTTGAAACAGTTGAAATCCAACTTACTAATGTCTTGAAAGATCTCTCCAGCTACTACAAAGATAACCACCTGAAGCCTAACCCTGCCAAATCACAAGTATGTGCTTTCCATTTACACAACCGTGAAGCCAACAGGAAATTGAAAGTCATCTGGGAAGGTCAAGCACTTGAACATTGTTTCCATCCTAAATATCTCGGTGTCACCTTAGATCGAACACTAGCATATAGGAAACACTGCTTGAACACCAAAGTAGCTGCACGCAATAACATCCTGAGAAAACGTACTGGCAGCACATGGGGTGCAGACCCAAAATTAATAAGAACATCAGCCCTGGTCTTGTCTTACACAACTGCTGAGTATGCCTGCCCTGTTTGGCATAGGTCTCCCCACGCAAAACAGGTCAACATAGCTTTGAATGAAACATGCAGAATAATCACAGGCTGTCTTAAATCTACACCTGTTGATAAACTCTACGAGCTAGCTGGCATTGCCCCCCGACGTGCCACGGGAAGTTGCTGCTAAATGTGAGAGAAATAAGGTTGAACCCTGTGAAAGCCATCCACTACATGGCTACCAGCCTCCTCCCAGCAGACTCAAATCAAGGAAAAGCTTTATGAGTACCACCACTCCTCTTGCCGTCCCCCCAGCAACAGCAAGGGTATCCCTCTGGGTAGCTAAACCAGGAAGCCCCAACTGGATGGCCCCCTGCAAGGGTCTTCCTCCAGGGGCAAACCAAGAATAGACAACCTGGAAGTTCCTGAATAGACTCAGAAGCGGAATGTGCAGATCAAAAGACAACCTGGCAAAATGGCACTACCTAAAAGAATCCCATATCTTGCGTGACTGTGGAGCAGAACAGACAACTCTGCATCTGTATGCTTGTCCATTGTGCCCTGCCTCATGTACAGAGGAGGAATTGTTGGAGGCTACAGACAATGCCCATTGCTGATGCCTGTTTTTGGTCAAAAGATATTTAGCCGCCTGCACACCTATTTTTATCAGTTTTATACTAATTTATGCAATGCTCTTGATATGAAATAATAAAAACTTCTGGTGTGAGAGAATCTGCAAGGATGTTGCCCAGGGGACACCCGGGGAGCTGGAACGGATAGAGGGAGCTCATCCACGCTCTTCCTAGATTCGAACCTGCGACCTGTCGATCTTCAGTCCTGCGGGCACAAGGGCTTAACCCACTGCGCCACCGGGAGCTCCGGCTATTGTTAGCTAAGAATAAGAACTGGGCTGTGCAAACAGTACATTTGTCTAGGAATAGAATTTCCAGTGTGACCCTGTCACAACAGTTGAGATAAGCACCTTGGCAAAGTCTTCATCCCTCTTCAACTCTTCATACCACAACGATCGGTTTTCAAGAAACTTTTTAGAGTGGCAAAGGATTAGAGCTACCCAGCACCTGCCCAAAGGTCAGGAAGACTGACAAGCAGCAAAGTACATCCAGTGCCCTCTTAACAAAATTTTGTGTTTTGGCTCCAAAGCATGAACTGCACTTTGCAAGGATCCAAGAAAACAAATCCTTTGGCAGTAACAAGATCGTCTCCTTTGCTGTTTGTGATAAAACAGTCCACTCTTGTGAAGTCTAGGGTGCTTCCCCCAGTATTAGATCAACCCCAGCTGCTTGCCTAGTGAGATTGGATCCTGTGCTCCTCAACGGCCTTACAGTCAATGATGTCTGTGACCCTGTGCATCTCTATATATACATACAGTATTTGCTTGTCAGCACACATTGTTTCATGTAGATGCTGATTTGTAACGAGACAAATGTAATGGATTTGTAATACCTAAGTAACAAACTAAGTGATAAATCCTCCTTACTTCTGTCTCATAACATCTTTTTATTTCATCATTCACACTATATTTTATAGCCCACAAAACCGAATTTATTAGATTGAAGGAAGTATTTTGGAAGTCAACTTCTCTGCATTGATTGAAATAAGCTTTGCTGCTCAGTCAAAAGAGCTGTTTACAAGACAGTTATTTTTACAAGTTTCCTAGTATCTCTTCTGTACTATTTTCCAATGTCTGTCATGGTCTCCTTTGAAAAAAAAATCCAGAGGAGTTTCCCAACCTGTCATTCTTCAGATTGTGCCTAATATGGTGTTTGAGCCAAAGTAAATCTGGCAGGGGTGCAAAATTAGATCCAGTCCATTCTGGATCAGGCACATAGTACTGTTATGGTAAGTGAATCATATAGCTCTGATATGAGTGAATGCTTAAGTGAATTATGATTTATTTGCAATAGCAGTACTATCTCAAGAAATGGCCATTCTAAATCCCTTCAACAAATGAGTAGAACCTTACTTATTATCTGACTTACCTGGAATGGATTAGATCTAATTTGAATCACACTGCTTACTTTCACCAAAGTGTGTGTGACTGATAGTAAATTTATTTTGAAAATTCTTTTGTTAGTATCATGACCCCGATTATAGTGCCTGAATGCACAGAATTGACGGCAGTTAGTTTTATCTACTGTTGTAGTCATAGAAGAACCAAGAAAAAACATTCAAAGCAGGATAGCCAAAATAGAAGAATTTGGAAAACTGGCGGGACTTAAAATAAACAGAGAGAAGTCAAAGATCTTAACGAAAAACATCTCAAAAGAAAATCAAGAGAAATTAAGAGAATCCACCAAAATGCAAATAGTCCCAAAACTGAAATACCTAGGAATATACCTATTGGCAAAAAACTCACAACTCATTAAGAACAACTATGAGCCAGTTTGGAACAAAATCAAAAAAGATCTGATCAGCTGGAACAAATTGAATTTTTCCCTTCTAGGTAGGATAGCCGCTATTAAGATGAATGTATTACCTAGACTCCTATTTCTCTTTCAAAACCTTCCCATAATACAAACCGATAAAACATTCAAAGAATGGAATAGGGAAATAACAAGATTCATATGGAAAGGCAGGAAACCGAGGATCAAACATATACATATGATTGACAAAACGCAAAGAGGGGGCTTAGGCCTACCCAACCTAAGTCTATACCACGATGCATGTGGACTAACTTGGGTAAAGGACTGGATCCTCTTAGAAAGAGACAGAGTACTAGCCCTCGAAGGCTTCGACCTGAGAGTCGGCTGGCACTCGTATTTATGGAACAACCAATTGAAGAAAGAATTTTTTTTTAACAACCACCCTATAAGAAGACCATTACTGAAGATCTGGGAAAAATATAGAAAAAATCTTTACACCAAGACACCAA